GCATCCTGGGGAGGATATCCTGGGACGTGATGTGTGTTTTGGCCGGCGGAGGGTCTCATGTGTTTGAGAGATGTTATTTTGGTATACGTCCGATTCTTTTTCATCCAAATCAATTGCGCCATGCAATAGTACATCTAGCGTGCTCCCTTATTTCGGCGTTTGCGAACGTCATATCCCGCTCGCGTTTCGGCATGCTCGCGCTTTGGCACACTGCACCTCCAGTTGCTCAACGTTGGTTCGATGTTTGATTCCATCATATGTGCAGCCGTCAACAACATGCTTTCTAATGCTTGCTCTGGGGTGGGGGAAGCCCTTCATGCGACGACCCGGGTTTGCAATTTTACGTGGCGGTGGCGCATTGTTGTGGCATGTGTGTTGCAATCCGCGGTGATCTTGCACTACCCGCAGTGCAGGCTGCCGCCTCGAAGCGGATGCTCGAATCGTGGTCGTTAAGCCAGGGGGGGCAGAAGCAGAAGCAGGAGAGGCAGGAGGAGCAGGAGAGCACGGACGAGAGAGGAGGTTTCGTGAGGAGCAGCGGAAGGGAAGAAGGCACGGAGCACGACGAGAGGAGCTCCTGCCGAGCAGTCCTGGTAGCTGCGCCAAGTGCTGCCACGGTCGCCGAGTTCGCGCCTGCCCGCCATCCCGGAGAAGAGGGAGGGGGAGAAGCCGGAGCAGCAAGACTGGCCGTCCCTGTGTGCCTGCGCTCCCTCCGAGTTCTCGTCCTCCTCCTGCTTCCAGACGGCGCGAGGCATCGATCCTCACGGCGCGGCGCAAAGAGCTGCGACCCCGATCTTGCGCAGGAGTAATCGCGATCCGTTTCGGCGAATGCCCGCCACTCACCTCATTGCGTCGTGGCCCTCCTTTCGTCCCCCGACAGGTCGCGGAAAAAAAACACGAGGGTGCATTGTGAGATAACCACTTCCTTGCAGATGACCCTGAATCTCGATCCAGCCACCCACCGTGGCATCCAGCCTTGCGGCCGGCCCACTCTTGGAATTGCGTGCCCGCGGGGTGTCACGGCCCGTGCACTCTTTCGAGAAGCCCGGCACGTCACCGACAGGTTCGTGCAGCGAGGCTGTCCGCTGACCAATCCTCCCCCAAGGGATCCGAGGGGTGACAAAGGGTGCACGCTGAGCTCGACACCTTGGGACTCCCTCGAGCCCTGCGTGTTTGCTTGCTTGCTTGCTTGCTTGCCTGCCTGCCTGCTTGCTCGCTTGCTTGCTTGCTTGCTCCTTCTCCTCCTTCTCCTACTCCTCTGCCCCCACTACCACCCAGGATTCCTTCTCCTCCTCCTCTTCCTCCTCCTCCTCCTCCTCCTCCTCCTCCTCCTATTCCTCGTCATCCACCCTTCTCCTGCGGCTTCTTCTCCTCCTCCTCCTCCTCCTCTTCCTCCTACGCCTCCCCTCTTCCGCCTCCTCTCTCCTGCATACTCCACATCTCCATCCTCCTCTATCCTCTCCGTCCTCGTTCTCCTCCTCCTCCTCCTCCTCCTCCTCCTCCTCCGCCTCACCACCATCATCATCATCATCATCATCATCATCATCATCATCAGCATCATCATCATCATCATCATCATCATCATCATCATCATCATCATCATCATCATCAGCATCATCATCATCATCACCACCATCATCATCATCATCATCAGCATGAGCAGCAGCAGCATCAGCATCAGCATCAGCATCAGCAGCATCATCATCATCGTCATCATCATCAGCAGCATCATCGGCAGCAGCAGTGTCGTCATCATCATCATCATCATCATCACCACCATCATCACCATCATCACCATCATCATTATCATCATCATCAACATCATCATCATCATCATCATCACAATCATCATCATCATCATCAGCATCATCATCATCAGCAGCAGCATATTCATTATCAGCATCATCATCATCATCATCATCAGCAACATCCTCAGTATCATCATCATTACCATTCTCAGCATCACCAGCAGCATCATCATCATCAGACTTGCCATCATCATCAGCAGCAGCGGCATCGGTATCATCGTCATCATCATCAGCAGCAGCATCATCTGCATCACCATCAGCATCGTCATCATCGGGATCAGTATCGTCATCACCGCCACCAGCATCATCATCACCATCATCATAAGCATCATCAGTTGCAGCATCATCAACAACAACATTACAAACATCATCAGCATGATCATCATCGTCATCATCATCAGCAGCATCAACATCATCATCCTCCTCATCATCAGCATCCGCATCATCACTCTCATCTGCATCATCATCACCATCAGCATCATCATCTCCATCATCATCATCATCATCATCATCAGCAGCAGCAGCAGCAGCAGCAGCAGCACCAGCATCACCATCATCATCAAGCTTCGCAGACAGTCCACCCCGCTGCTCTTGCTCCTGCTCCCCCTCCTTCTCCCCCTGCTCCTCCTCCTCCTCATCCAATCCTCCTTCCATTCCCCCTCCCTGCTCCTCGCTCCACCTCTTCCTCCCGCCTTCTCGATCGTCCATCCTCCTCCTTCATCTCCTCCTCTTTTTCTTCCTCACCCATCATTCTCCCCCCCCATCCTGCTCCTCCTCCTCCTCGTCCTCCTCCTCCTCCTCATTCTCCTCGTTTTGCCTCATGATCCTCCTCCTCCTCCTCCTACTCCTCAACTACCCTCATTATCCTCCTCCTCCTCCTCCTCCTCCACCCTCCTCCTCCTCCTCGTTTCCTCCTCTCCTCTCCCCTCCCTCCCTCCTCCTCTCCTCCTCCTCCTCCTCTTCCTCCTTATCCTCCTCCTCCCCCTCCTCCTCCTCCTTGTCCTTCTCCCCCTCCTGCTCCTCCTCCTCCTCATCCTCCTCCTCCTCCTCCACCTCCTCCTCCATCCTCCGCCTCCCTCCTCCCTCCGACGACGCCGCCCGCGCCGCCGACGACGATGCCTTGACCCCCCCACGCGAGGCGCTGCTGCCCCAGTCCGAGGGCATCTGCGCCCGCAGCGCCGTGAACCGCATGCTGTGCCTGCTGGCCGCGCAGCCCGTGGTCGGGCCGCCGCGCGTCCCGCCTCGATGATCCGCCCTGCGTCGTCCTTTCTCGATTCTCGATCCTCCTCCTCATCCTCCTCCTCCTCCTCCGCGGTCCCTCTTCTCCGCAATCCTCATCCTCATCCTCGATGTTCCTCCCTTCTCCCTTGCTTCCTCCTCCTCCTCCTCCGCCTCCACCTCTTCCTCCTCATCCGCATTTCTGACGGTGATCGGACATAGTTGGCTGGAACTCAAGCGTATGCCTCCTCCTCTCTTCCTCGCCCACCGTCGCCTCGCTGCCGCCAGCGGCATCGCTCAGGGAAGGATGGGGAGTAGGAGGAGGAGGAGGAGGAGGAGAAGGAGGAGGAGGAGGAAGAGGAGGAGGAGGAGGGGGAGGACCCAGGGGGTCTGCAGGACCAGGCTTTTGTTCGAACGCCTGCGCAGGTTCTCGGAGGTTTTTCTTTTTCTCCGGATGCGTTCCAGCAGCTGTGCCTCGCCGATATCGTTCTGGGGTGCCCGGGTCGTCCCGAACTGCCGCCGGAAACCCGAGCTACGGCTCGAAAATTGCACCCCCTCGCGTCGCGAGCAAGACACGGCGGGAGGTTTCTGACAATTTCCGGCCCATCGGGGCCCCCCCTGGTACCGTCAAAGGAATGGCTCGGGATTCCTGCTCGTCCTGGTGAAGGAGATCCGGACCTCTGGAGGCCCATGCTGCGAAAAGAAGCGCGGCGTCGCCGTTCTGAGGAGGAGGGGGGCAGGGTCACAGCCGCCCGGGTGCGGGGTCAACAGGTCCGGCGGTCTCTGGGCAGTCCGTGTTGTGTTCGGGTGCTGCTAGAACTAAGTCGGGCACGTCTTCCTACAGGGGGGGAGTATTCAGGCACGGTGAGGGATGAATAGTAAAGGTGCTGATACGGGCAATATTCAGGCTGCAACGCAAGATTGCGTTAGTTATACCGAGAAAGGGGCGCACGCCAAGGCATTGTATAAAGAATGGCAATGGTGAGTGATGAAGGGTAATGGCGAAAATGACGGATGCACACGACGATACGGATGACGAATACGATCGGCGTTTCTTAGTGATGTTCATCTTTCAGATCTTAGTTCGTCCCCACCCTCTCTCCTTAGTGAGCACCATCATATGCAACTCAACATCTCGCCACCCACACAGTCGGTGCTGCGAGGTGCAAGTCCGTGTTGATAGCGCGCTAGTTGTAGCTTCCCAATTGCAGGCCATCGCAACATGTCTGCCGCAGCCGACTGTTTGGCTAATGCTCGCAACCACATGGGCGAGCTAAACATCCGATAAGATGGTTTTGCTCTTGCGCGCTACGCCCCTGAAAAACACAAGGCCGCGTCGGCTTCCCACGCGCATGCTGAACAGGTACCGGCGTTGAACATGTAACAAAATCATTGTACGCGATATGCGACCTCGCAACCCTGTGTGGGGACATCATGAAATTCTGCGCGCTGCACACAAGAAAATCCATGATCCCGCTGTGTTGTTTGCACGCGTGGTTACCGTTACCGGGGTTCGTAATTGTTGCGCCTCCGCCTCATTCCACGGTCCGGCTCGCCACAGCTACAGGCAGTTGTCCCATGTCATGGCGTGCCACAACGTGTCATGAAGCAAGGGCTCCCCCGAGGGCGCGAAGTTATTCGCGCTTCGCGCTTCGCGGTCCTCGTTTCTCCTCCCCCTCCTCCTCGTCCTCCTATTCTCCCTTTGGGAGGGCGGCGCGAGAGCGCGAAGTTATTCGCGCTTCGCGCTTCGCGCAGCGCGAAGCGCGAAGTTGGGAGCCCGTGTGAAGGGAGCCAGACCTCACCCACGCGTCACTTCTGACCACGACCAGGTCGAACTGAGCCCCGTGGGCCTTCACGTCGACCCCGAAGACGGCTTGAGGACCGGGCGCCTGGGTTGCTTAGGCCATATTTCGGGAGACTCTTCATGGGGGGGGATCCCATGGGGGGATAGGATCCCAAGGGGGGGGGATCCCATAGGATCCCCTGGGGATCCCATTGGGGGGGATCCCCTCCTGCCCCCCCATGGGATCCCCCCCCATGGAGAGTCTCCCGAATATTGGGAGCGTGGGGTCCGAACTGCGGCTCTCAGACCTTCCTCGCGGGCCGACCGGGGAAGCGCCTGGGGCCGCCTGGGGCGCTCTTGATCTGGAGGCCCAGGTCCTCGAAGCGCTCTGCGGCACCCAATGCCGAGGACTGAGTTTCCAGGAAGGCGGGGAGGATTGCTGATGTCCTGGCGCCATTCCCCTCAGTGACCACGGAGCGAAAACGGGCCTTTCTCAGAAAGCAGGAGGCGAAGGAGCAGGGGGAGAGATAAGGCGGAGGGAAGACGAGGAGAAGGAGGAGGAGGAACGGAGATATGAGGCTCGAAGCTTTTCTTCCTCATCACCATTCTTCCTCATTCCTCATCCTCCCGTTCCCCCTTCCGTGCTTATCTTGGTAACTGGTCCGCATGCGTTTTGCCCCACCACCCCTCTCTGTCTCCTTCCTATCCCTCCTCCCCCTCCTATGCCTGCAGGTTGGCGACTGCTTCCTTTCGATCATCCCGTTCCGCTCTGGGGTGAACGTGTGCGAGTTGCCAGCAACGGTGGCACGGGGGCCAATCTCTCGAGTACAGTCGAGCATCTGATTATGAATCCTCCTCCCGAGAAGTTGGGCCATCGTTTCTTGGCCAACGTGCTGGAAAGCTGGCCATACTGTTCGGGCATGTTCGCCCCTCCAGCGTTAAGGGCAGAAGTTGGCCCAGGCTTGTTTTAAGAAACTTCCGGACAGCTGGCCCAGACTTCTTAAATGATGATCTTCGTGGTTCCATGTTCGGCAGTATCGGTTGCGGGCGTTCCAACTCGGGGCCTCCTGTTCGAGGGATGGCGAAGTTGACGTCTCGCTCTCGGCGCACGAGCTCGAGAAAGTATGGCTCGAGGGCGGGTGCGCTGGCTGGGCAAAGGCTGTCGGAAGTGACAGCGTAAACCCTGAGACAGGTCAGGGATGGCGCGCCCAGGGATCCCAGAGTCTGCCAATCCTTGATCTGTCGCCGCGCCATTTGTTCCGACGCGCGGCCTTCCGTCTTGGGGAGGGCGCTTCGGCCATTAGGGCAAACGCCGCCTCGGGTGCGGTGGGCTTGCCGTGGTGCTTGCCGCGGTGCCGGCTTCGTCTGCTGGGGCACGGGACGCAGGATTTGCCGTGGGCTTGCCGTGGTGTCGGCGACGTCCACTCGGGCGCGTCGAGAACAAACGGCGCGGCGACATTCGACGTGCGCGGGCAAGACGTTTGGGCCTCTTGCGTCTGGCGCTTCGAAGCTCGTGCTCGTACTACTCCTCAGCATCACCATCCCCTGGCTCCCACGACCCATCCTTGCTGCTCTCACAGAGAAATCGGCGCATGTGCCGGGCTCGTGGCACCATGTTGAAAGGTTGCGTTTGCGGAGAGTTTGGCCTAGCAAATAGCCGACAGTCTTCCCGCCCCCTTCACTCTCACCCGCATCTGCACGGACTATGGTACCTACAGCACTTGTTCACCATGGCGAGCAAATTGCACTAATCTGTTTTGTTGTCCTCCAGGCTATTACTTTAAACGTATCATGGCTAGCGCGATTCGTGATGTAGTTCTTCGCGGTAGGGAAGAACGAACCCTGCAAAAAGTGGTTGCAACACATCGTTTGTTTGATGACAACAGTTGGAGGGAACGTTCCGACACAGTGGCGGTGAAAATCACGATCTCAGGCTCCTAGACATCAGATTCTGATTTGACAGCCTGTACGGACCCACCAGCACTGCACTCCTCGTCCTCGTCATCCTGCTCTTGTGCGCCCCTGTCATCCTCACCCCTCTTGTGGACGGCCTCCTCCTCCTCCTCCTCCTCCTCCTCCCATGCTCCCCGTTTCTCCGCGCCTCCTTCCTCCTCATCACCGCATCATACGGTGGGAGCGTTCGTTTAGGAATGCGCCCAGGAGGCCACAGACCCTGGAGGATTTCTTATCTGACGAGGGCGGCGGTGATACCCAGGGCCGGTCCACGATTAGAATTCCATTGGCATCCAGACCCTGGAGTCCTTATCTAAGGTTTCCTTGTCCAATGCCCCCACCGTGTCCCACCATGCACAGGCCCTGACGGGGACGACGTTCGGTGCGGCATGCCGGCAGAACGACCAGCTTCTCTGCATGAGCCTTATCATCGCGTTGGAGAGAGCGCTTCGATGGGCAATGATGTTCGAGCGCTCGCCATCGGCGGAGGAGAATGAGAAAAACAGGAGGAGGGAGGGCGAGGGAAGGGGAGGGGAAGGGGGAGGAGGTATGAGTATGAGTATGACCATGTGACAAAGTCAAACGTGCCAACATACGTGACGAATTACACATGAAGGCATGACTATACACGACCACGGCTCTGCTTCTCACGTGCACTTAAAACCTTAGGCCACAAACCACGCGAGACCCTATCGAGATATACAGCTCGATGTGTGGTGACACGCTGGGTGCAGACCTTGCCAAGTTCACGCAAGACCTCGGAAGCAAAGCACCCGCACAGCTTACAATACCAAAGCTTAAGATGTGTATGATATTGCATGGCATGACATTGAGGAGGATGAGCAGGAGGAGGAGGAGGAGGAGGAGGAGGAGAAGGGGGAGGAGGAGGAGGAGGAGGAGGAGGAGGAGGAGGAGGAGGAGGAGAAGAGGGAGGATGGAGGAGGAGGAGGAGGAGGAGGAGGAGAGGCAGGGATGAGGAGGAGGATGGGGAGGGCGAGGAGGAGGAGGAGGAGGAGGAGGAGGAGGAAGGGGATACGGAGGAGAAGATGCGCTCGCAGTGAGGGGCGAAAAAGAAAGACGATGATGAGGAGCTAGAGAGGGAGGAGATCATCATCCTCCTCGTCCTTGTCCCGCTTCCCCACCCTCCATGTTTCTTCCTTCTCTTCGTAGTCATCGACAGTCATCCCCCCCCCCGACGCCTCCGCCGCCCCTAACTCCCCATCCTCCTCCTGCTGCTCCTGAGAACGACTGCCAGCTGCCTTGTTTTATGGCTTGGGGCATTCCTGTAGATACCATTCAGACGATGCGGACCTCTCGACTGAGATGCGTCGCACGAGCCATCGAGCGGACACCGACGTGCGACTGATGCCATTCCTCCTCAGTTCGTCCTCGTCCTCCCTCGTCGGTGGATGTTGTATTCCGTGGGCTCCAGTTGCAACACGTGTGCGCAATCCATGGTGAGTGAGTCCTGCACCACTGCATCATGAACAGTCATGTACACCAATACCGTCGAGGACGAGTAGAATGACCACCGAGAAGGACGAGGAAGAGGGGAAGAGGAGGAGGAGGACGAGGAGGAAGACCGCGGGGGAGGATGAGGAAGAGCAGAAGGAGGAGGAGCTCGACCGCACTCCCTTCTCAATACCCGTTCCTCATCCCCTTCCGCCTGCCGGAGCACTCCACCGAGGTGTGGGTATTCGACCGAAGGGCGAGTACCCCGTCATGGGGCCTCCCGACGACACAGTGCTGGCCGAGGGCGACGTCCTAATCTTTTTGGTCGGCGCGGGGGGCACCCAGAAAAGCACGGGCGGCAGAGAGCACGGAGGAAGAGGAGGAGGAGGAGGAGGAGGAGGGGGAACAAGGGCAGGCACCTTGCCTGAGAAAAGGAGGAGGAGGAGGATGAGGAGGAGGAGGAGGAGGAGGATCAGGATGAGGAGGAGGAGGGGTAGGATAAGGAGGATAACAGTCTAGAATACCTGGTTGTTGCTGTCCCACGGGCAGCGGTCGACAGCGATAGCGTGAGAAGGAGGTGGAGGAGGATGAGGAGGAGGATAAGGATGAGGATGAGGATGAGGATGAGGGTGATGGTGATGATAATGATGAGGAGGAGGAGTTGGAAGAGAAGGAGGAGGAAGAGTAGGTGGGGGAGGACGGAGGAGGACGGAGGAGGAGGAGGAGGAGGAGGAGGAGGAGGACATGGGAGGATAGTTGGCCGTTGCTGTCCAACAGGCAGCGGGCGACAGCAATAGAGAGAGAGGAGGAGGAGGAGGAGGAGGAGGAGGAGGAGGAGGAGGAGGAGGAGAAGGAAGAGGAGGAGGAGGAGGAGGAGGAGGAGGAGGAGGAGGAGGACATGGGAGGATAGTTGACCGTTGCTGTCCAACAGGCAGCGGGCGACAGCAATAGAGAGAGGAGGAGGAGGAGGAGGAGGAGGAGGAGGAGTTCCGTAGCCATTTTGGCTCAAGTCCGTAGCGGTGGCTCGAGGACTAGAGTTCTTTCTGGCACGGGGGATTCACGGCCCCCAACAGCGATCTGCCAGTTGCATTTCTGGTACTGTAGTGAGGTTTCATCCCTCATTTGCGAACGGTTTACTCTGTGTCATAGTTGCTTGCTTCTCTCTCGGATGTCTCATCTGGGGAATGGCTGGCAGTGTGGCACATGCGGGTATTTCAATTTCGGCTTTCGGCCGAAGTGCAGGCAGGCGCAGTGTAATGGTCGGAATCCTGACAGCCCTACTCCTGCCCCTTGGCATCATGTGCCCCAGGGACAGTGGGCAATGGGGCCGCCAGTCTTCGGAGGCGGGGGTGCTGGTGTGCGCCAGCCGAAGCCGCCCAAGAAAGGAGGCGGCGCCAAGGGCGCCAAGCTCTCTGACGAGATGGCCGAGCCCTGGTTGCAGATGTCCGACGAGCAGTTCGACGCCGCCTGCCCGGCGCTCGACCCGTCCACCCGCGAACGCCTACGTGGGCAGCGCTGGAGGGCCAAGCTTGGGCTGGGCCGCATGGCGTCTGTGCAGCAGCTCAAGTCTGCGCAATCAGCCGTGGATCAAAAAGCCGAACAGCTCCTGGCCGCCCAGAACGCGCTGGGCAAGAAGGAGAAGCACGCGCGTGAGGCCATGCAGGCTTTATGCGATCATCGAGTCAAAATCCAGAAGTTGGAGGGGGAGGTCAAGACTCTCATGGAGGAGGCGAGGGAGGCGGCTGCTGGGCGGGCCCCTGCTGCTGCGCCCGCTACGCCCCCCCAGGGCCTCGGCCTCTTGGCGACGGAGCTCACCGACGCCATGCGCGGCGTCCCCGACGGCACGCTGGGCCCGCTCGAGGCTCCGTTGCGGGCCTTGCTCGCGGCCTTGGCGCTGGCCGCGCCTGGGGAGCCCGCGCCCCCGGCGCCTGCGGCCGCCGCTGCTGCCCGGCCGGCAGGAGCAGGAGGCGCCGCTGCAGCAGCACCTGCTGCACGTGCGCCTGCTGCAGCCGCTGGCTTGGATCCTGGGGGCCCTGGAATCCCTGAGCCTGGAGTGCTTGCCGCCGTTCCCGGCTTTGCGCAGGAGACCGCTGTCGAGCAACACATCCCGTCTGGCGACGAAGGCGAGGATGACGACGACGATTGGGCCGACGGCGGCAAGCCGGCGAGCATGGGCGCCAAGCGGGCCATCGAGGAGCAGACCTGGCAGGAGATGCTGGAGGCCTGCGATGGTGATCCTGCTAAGCTGGCCACGGTCAATGAGCTTCGGGCGTCCATGCAGAAGAAGCCCAAGTGCCTTTAGCCAGATGGCGTTGCACCTCGCCGAGAGCTTTCCGGGGGCGTCCCGCCGCCTTGATTGGCACGCCTCGGGATGGGATGCAGGCCCGGCGGTCACTTCGGCGCCTGCCCTGAGGATCTCGGACCCCTCGGGGCCTGCGCCCCCCCGACGGGACCTTGGAAGGGGACGTGGCGCTGGAGAGGCTGCGGGTTTTCCCCAGCGAGCGGCGGCGGGCGAGGCCCGTGGCGCCGCGGCTGGCGCGACGAGTGATTTGCCATCAGGGCCGACTTCCAGGGAGGGCGACCAGGGTGGACTCGCTTCTGGTGTGGCGACCGGCATGGCCGGCAGGTATCTGCGGCAAGGAAAGTTGGCATCGAATTTCCGTTTTTATTTTGCCAACACGACGTCTTGGGGGCAGAAAGCCTGGGACTACCTGAACCAGGATGGGGGCTTCCAGGAGGCGGATCTTATCATGATCGCGGAGCACCACCTCCGAGGCGGCCAACATATTCAGGCCATCAAGCGGTTTAAGCGCTTGGGGTGGTCCACGGTCTCTGAGGCGGCAGTTGCGACGGCTCGTGGGGGAACCCACGGGGGCGCGTGGGCGATGGTGCGGAAGCATCTCCACCACCTTCCCCTCCATCCAGAGGTTAAGCAGGCAGTGCAGGAACAACGAGACGGACGGCAACGTACGCAGTGGACCAGCCAGACGATCCGGATGGCGGAGTGCGACGTGATCTTCATAGTCCTCTACCTGGTCACGGGCTTGGGCCTGCAGGGAGAAAACCTCACTATTCTACCGGAGGTCGCGGGCTATGTTCGCACCCAGGGGAAGCCGTACATCATAGCAGGGGACTGGAACATGGAGACCAACGAGGTTGCGGCCAGCGGCATTCAGCTCTACCTGCATGGTGTTTTCCGTAGCGCACGGGGGCCAGCCCCAGGAGGCGCTCGCACCATAGATTTTTGTCTTGTGTCCGAGGCCCTCGGCCGGACTTTGGTGCTGAGCTGGGATCCTTGGTCCCCCTGGGCCTCGCCGCGTACGGGTGTTTCGGGAGTGCTTCATTGTGATAAATTTGTCCAACTCCACACCGTATTAGTCCAGCCTCCTGTCTATGTGCACGCAGCAGGGCCAGACCTCCCTTGGGAAGTCCATCAAGCCAGGGTCCGTGCCTTAGTTGCCCGAGGGATGCAGGCTCCTGGGTGGGCCCATTTTTCGGCCCCTGCGCGGGCCCTCGGCGAAACGTACATGGCTTTTTGTCTCGCATCGGAGTCCTGCCACACCAATCGCGACTCCTCTGTTGATTTTCTAGGCGCCAGCATGCATAGGGGTTGGATGGTCGCTGTCCAGGACGCGCCTTTGTTGGAGACTAAGCCGCAAGGGTGGCTGGCGGAAACCTCCAATCTCTGGGTCTGGTCCGCACTCCATTCCCGGCTCGTCGAGTGGCACGGTCTCTGTAGGAAGTCTCGGCCGCTTGGCTTGGCCCCCGGTCGATTCGCAGAGGCGCTTGCCCGCGTCAACCGGCTCCCCCGTGTTTTGGGGGAGGGGCGCGAAGAACGCGTGCTTGAAGAATGCAGAAAGTTGGGAGTGCAGGCTGTTGTGGATCGCCTGGCGGCCGCCCTCAAGATGCTAAGTCAGGTTCTCCGCTCCCTCGAGGCCTCCCTCTCCAGGCTGTCCTCCAGGGGCTTCAAGGATTGGGCGAGGCAGTCTCTTGGCAAGGGCAGCGGGGCCCTGCACTTCACACCAAGACTTGGGGGTTGGAGGCTCCCGAGCTTAGCTGTGAACGCTCCCCGGAGGGCGAAATCCTTGTTGACCCGCAGGGTGCCTTGGCCTCGAAGCATGAATTCTGGGGGCACCTTTGGCTCGCGGGGACACAGGACCCCGGGGCAGCCTGGTGGGGGGATTTCCGTGCCAGAGCCATGTTGGACTCCCGTGATCGGGATCAGCTCACGGGGGACCAGCTTGCAGATGCTTTGAAATGGTTCCGGCCTGTGGTAGGTCAGGGGGCTGATTTTCAGAATCCAAGGGACTGGTCTAAGCTACCAGTGGAAGCCCATCAGCAACTTCTGGACCTGTTACGAGAGGTCGAGCGCGCGCTCACCTGGCCCCCGCAGGTCCGCATGATCATAATCCAGCTGAGTTTTAAGAGCGTCGTCGAGGCCGACAGACCAATTGCCCTCACACAGGGTCTCTACCGAGTCTGGGGCCGATCTCGACGTTGTGATATAGCGGGCTGGACGTCGGAGCGGGCTCAGTTTTGGGATCGGGCTGCGAGGGACCCGTCGGCCTTAAGGGCGGCCCTTCTGCGCCAGACCAGCTGCGAGGTGGCTTCCGCCATGGGTTTCAGCTGGATCCAGATTCTCTGGGACCTGGAAAATGTTATGATCATGTTCGGCTCGACGCAGTGGTGGACATAGCCAGTCGAGTTGACTACCCGCTCATGCCACTTTTCCTTGCCCTGGATATGCGCCGGGCGCCTCGGCGGCCCCGAGCCTCAGGGGCGGTTTCTGACATCATCACTCCGGGCAGGAGCCTGCTGGCAGGGTGCTCGCAGAGCGTCGACATTCCCAAATTGGCCATGTGGGATATCCTGGAGACGGCTCACGCCAATTTCCGCCCCCTGCTCTTGGAGTCTTGGGAGGATGACCTGAGCCAGCGGCACGTCGGTAAAGCTGAGGTCATCTCCCCACAGGCTGCCCGAGCCAGCGAGGGCCTAGGCCAGCTTCTTCGGGATAGTGGTTTTGTGATCCAGCAAGAGTCAGGCCCTTGCAAACCCTCCCCACCTCGCCCCGGGGATCCTCGCGGATTTGGCCCGGAAATGTTTCCGCCTCCGGGGGGGCAGAAGCGGTAAGGACCTGGGCATTGGCACGGTAGGTCCGCGGCGCTCTGTCGCGATCCACAAGCAACGTTTCGCTGCAGCTAGTCACAGGTCCAGCCAAATTAAGCGCGTAGTCAAGACGGACCGCAGGGCCCAAGGCCTTGTCCGCACCTGTTGGCTCCCGCAGGCTCTCTGGGGCTGCGAATCCCAAGGCGCGAGTCCGACGA